TGCCTCCCGAGTGCTGGGATTAAAGGTGTGCACCACCACACCTGGCTTGAAGAAAATATTTTTTAAAAAACAAACTACATTGAAAATCCATCTTACCCGTTACAATGGCAGTCATTAGGAAAACACTAGCTGTGGTGGCGCACGCCTCTAATCCCAGCACTCAGGAGACAGAGGCTGGTGGATCTCTGTGAGTTCAAGGCCAGCCTGGTTTAAATTTTCTAAAAAAGCTCTTCATTTTATTTATTATTGTGTGCATCTATCTATGTGTGTGTATGGTGGGGGGTACACACGGTACAGCATGAGTGTACAGGTCAGAGGACAACTTTTAGGATTTGGTTCTCTCCTTCCCACTTTTCATGAGTTCTGGGGACCTAAGGTTATCAGGCTTGTATTGTTATGAGGTTGTCTTACTAGCAAAGACCACTCAGACACAGAAAATTGCCAAAAGAAAAATTTTAGAACCAGCCAGCAACTACACTGGGTATTTGGGTCCCAAGTGCAGCCCTGAGTCATTCTTAGGGTAGGCTTTTTATACAAAAAAACCACATCCAGGGGTGAACAGTTTAAGTTCCCAAGCCTAGGGGTGGAAATCCCCCCTAACAACTTCTATTCTTCAAGAGAACAGTTTCTATTCTGTAAGAACAAGCCAAGAGGAAAATACAGAAGCCATAAACCTGCTGTTATCAGGAGCAACCAGATGCACACCAACCTGTTCTCAAAACTACACCTTGTTGCAGTTGGGTCAAACTTTTCCATTTCCACATTTGAGTTAACTCCCCTCTAGCTTTAACTACTGGGTTTAGCTGGGGCTTACTTGTAATATGGTGTAGCTATGGTTAGTCTTGAGGTGCCCCACCACAGTATTGTAAGGCAGTAACCACCAACACCCACTGAGCCATTTTGCTGGCTCCAAATGTGTTTTTACAATAAGAATATGACAGCGCTCCTATATGTTACCCCTCCTGTTCCCTACCAAGTATAGTCGGGAAATGTGAAGAATTTACCAATAATCTTGTGTTAGTGTTGAGGCTACTGCTGTGCTACAAAACATGGCAGCCACTGGCCAGTGGCAGGTGCCCATCAAGCCCTTGCTCCATGGCTGGTCCAAGTTGAGAAGTACCAGAAGCAGGTAATTTGGATCAGTGTCTAATGGCTTCGAAGAAATTAAGGGACGGTGAATGAATGGTGAGGTTAGCCTGTCATCCCAGCACTTACGAGGCTACATAGTGAAGCCAGCTTGGGCTACAGGAAACCCTGTCTTAAAAAGCAAAACTAAGCCAGGTGTGGTGGCACACACCTTTGATCCCAGCCCTCAGGAGACAGAGACAGGTGGATCTCTGAGAGACTGAGGCCAGCCTGGTCTACATAGTGACTTCCAGGTAGGACTAGGGAGACCCTGTCAGAAAACAAAACAAAAAGCAAAAACTATGTAAAATATTGATCATATGTTGAAATAGTTGTATTTGGGTATAATGGATTCAATAAAAGATGTGGGTGTGAGGGGGTACTGGGAATCAGACTCATGGCTCATGCAGGTGAAGCACACATTGTACCACTGAGCCACATGACCAACCCCAAGTAGGAAATGTTTTTTGTTGGATAGGCAAGATGACTCAACATGTAAAGGCACTCACTGCCAAGCCTGAAGACCTGAGTTTGATCCCCATGAGCCACATGATGGAAGGCGAGAACCAATTCCTGCAAGTTATCCTCTGAACGCCTCATAGACACTGTGGCAGAAGCGTGCACAGACACTATGGCAGAAGCATTCCTACAACACACATGCACACACACAAAGTGTGAAAGAAGAAAAGTGTTTTTTTTTTTTTAAAACAGAAGCTTACTATAAGCCCAAGCTAGGCTCAAACGCATGGCAACCCTGATCCTTCTACCTCAGCCTCTACAGTGCTGAGATTCTAAGTGTGAGCTACCACACTAAGCTTAGAGATTTCTAAAATTAGCTCTCACTCTGCTCCCCACCACCTGCAGCCTGATCTTCCTGCCTCCAATTCTAAATACTGGCATTATAGGTGTCTCCTACCATGCCCCTTTTATTTGGGGGTGCTGGAGACCAAGGGCCTTGTGCATGTCAGATATGACCAACTGAGCTATGTTACCAGCACAGCCCCCACCCCTTTTTGTGGATACAGTCTTACTGTGTTATGGGGCGGGTCGCTTGACCCCCGACGTGGTGTGTGCGGGCACCCTGGGGTCTCCACCACACCTGGCTAATCCCGGAGTGAGTCTGGCTGCAAGCGATGTGGGGAGCGCGCCTGGGCTCCCGGGCGCACTCACTCTGGATGTGGCCCAGGGTCAGGTGTGCGTGCACTCTCCCGCCGTGGTTCTGGTCCCGCTGGCTAGCTAGCGGCTGGCGGGCCTGGCCGGCTGCGCCTCTCTGGAGACGGCAGGTGTAAAGACTTCTCTGATGCTGGCTGTAGCTGATAGCTACACACTTCTCTGGAGCGGAGAGCTTCTTCTGCTACTAGAGTATTATCTAGTCGGGATCCCGCCTCTATTACACCCTTGTGCCCTTCCTCAGGATTGCGGAGTCCTGGCCAGTGAACTCCACAGGGAAGAAACACGGAGGCGGCGAAAGCTAGGATATCCGTGGGTCGGTAACGGAGAGTGCTGCTCTCCGGTGAGATCAGGTCGCCGGTAGTAAGACACAGGACTCAAGGCACGGCTTAGTCTGTGTTTACTGCTTTATTGTATCTCTGCTCCTTGCTGTCCAGCGCTCTGCTGATCCAGCTTTCTGGGACCCAATCTCCGGGTCTCTGACCTGATCTCCCAGTCTCTGGCCTGATCTCCCAGTCTCTGGCCTGATCTCCGGGTCCCTGGCCTGATCTCCGACTATTAAGAGAAGACTAGCATATTTATATACCATGGGGGTAGTGGTAAAAGCTTTTAGATACTTTGTGAGATATTCTATTTACATGTGGAAGTGGGTTTCTGCTAGACTATTGTCTACCTGTAAAAATCACACACAGGAAGGCATGGTATGCATAGAGCCAAAGGCCATGTTTATGTCAAGGCATCTGTGGCGGCCACTTCAAAGGGAGAGACAGGAAAGATGCCAGAAAGCACCTTGCTATGAAAAGGAGCCCGCGGCACATTCCCCGAGCTGCATGAGCTGTCCGGTGTGAAGGGGCTTCGACATTTGCATAACAGAGGTCTCCCAACACTGTGTAGCCTCGTTTGGCTTGGAACTGGTAATCCTCCTGCCTCCTCCTCTACCATAACTGGTGCAGATCAGAACAGTTCCCATTTTCTTTATTATATGCTTCCCTAATGATTGAACTGCATGAGAGTTTTGTTTTGATAGTTTTTTTTTTTTTTTTTTTTTTTGAGACACGGTCTCTCTGTAGCCCTAGATGACCTGAAACTGTCTGTGTAGATCGCTGTCCTCAGTCTCACAGAGCTCCACCTGCCTCTGTCGCAAGTGCTAGGAGTTAAAGGCATGTGCCACTACACCCAACTTTTGTGATTAATTTTTTTTATCAAAAAGCCAAAATATTTATTTTTATGCATTTAGAATTTTTTTTGGTCTTTTTTGTGTGATTTTTTTTGAGACAGGGTCTCCCTGTAGCCCCAGCTGTCCTGGAACTCACTATGCAGACCAGGCTGACCTCGAACTCACAAAGATCCACCTGCCTCTGGCTCCCAAGTGCTGGGATTAAAGGCGTGTGCCACCACACCTGGCTGTGATTGATTTTTTAAAAATATTTTATGTATTCTTTTTATTTTATGTGTATGAATGTATTGCACATAAGTATACCTGTGTTGTGCAATGTCCTTGGAGGTCAGAAGAGGGCATTGGCTCCCCTGGAACTGGAGTTAGGATAATTGTTAGCTGCCATGTGGGTATTGAGATTTGAGCCTAAGCCCTCTGTAAGAGCAGCCAGTGCTCTTAACTGCTGAGCCATCTCTTCAGTCTCTTAAATTTAATTTTTAAATTAAAAAACTTTATTAATATTGTGTGTCTGTGTGTGTGTGTGTGCACGCATGCTCATACTGGCACGTGTGCCATGGCACACATGTGATGCTCAAAGGACAATTTTGAAGAGTTGGTTTTCTTCCTTTGTGTGGGTTCCAGGATTGAACTCAGGTCTTCAGGCTTAGGCAGCAAGCACCTTTACCCACTAAGTCATCTTGTCAGCCCTGTTTTAAGTTTTGAAATAAAAACAAGTGAGACTCACATCATGAATTAATAAAAGAAGGAAATTGAAATCACTTCCAAGAGGTGGAAGGAGTAACCAACCAGTCCTGTCCTTAGGGACCTGAGAGCACGTTCTCCACCCTCAGAACATGTTTGTGTGAGCTTTGAAACTGTGCTTTTAAAAACAAACCAAACAGAGAACAAAATGTTCCGAGGCTGCTTTTATTCCAAGAATTCTGTGAGCTCCTCCTGGACACCACAGTTGGTGCCAGTTCATCCACAGCACCCACACAACAGCACCGCGAGGGCATCGAGGGCTCCTGGGAACCCTGTCCCTTTGCCAGTCAATATGACTGAGTCCGCCATCAAGAGCCTGCCAAGCTGGCTCTGAGTGGTCCCCCTGTGTACCCCACTCCTCCGGCGGTTGAGAAGTGAGACTCAATGCCTTTTGAGCCCATACTTCCTGGGTCTGGACCAGTCATTCCCTGTTGCTCTGATTGCCTCAGATGACAATGCATGCAACCCCCAACACAGAAAGGGGGTCCCACTGGTCTCTCTGGTCATGGGCTTCTCTGTCCCCAAGACTCCAGGTGGCCCTGCTAGGAGCTGCTGCCCCCAGTGGAGAGTGGCCACATGACTGGGCCAAGTCAAAGTCACTGTCCTCTTAGGCCTAGGACCAGGCTCCAAGGAGGAGCTAGGAAGCTGTCGCAGCCTCCATGGGCTGGATCAACAGCGTAGTAGCCTGCAGTGGGTAGTAGCGACCCTTCCATGTTTTCCAAAAGATTCCCTTCTTACGCTGCTGCCGTTGCCGGGGAATGGAATGGAAGTACTGGCCATTGAGGTTGGAATGGCTACAAGTGCCAAACCACCAGCCACCTACAGGGTTAGAAGACAGGGAAGACGGTCAAGGCCTTGTGCCTCCATATTGAGAGGGGTAGGGTTAGAGAGAAGATGGGCTTTGGACTTTACACCTTAAACAAATTTTAAACTACATTTATTTATTTTGTGTGGGGGAAGGGCATCACATAGAGGTCAGAAGACAACTTCGAGAGTCAGTTTTCTCCTTCCGCCATGTGAGTCCCAGCAAGTGCCTTTAGCTACTGAGCCATCCTACCAGCCCTTGTTTTTTGATTTTTTGGACAGGATCTCTAACCCAGTCTAACCTCAAACTCTCTAAGTAGCCAAGGATGATCTGAAACGTCTATGTTCCTGTCTCTGCTTCCTGAGTACTGTACCTGCTACACCTGCGGTCTATACTACCATGCCTGGTTAATTTAGTGCTGGAATGGGACCTAGGGCTTCATTTATGCTAGATAAGCACCCTACCAAATGAGCTACATTTCCTCTCCATAACTTATTAAAGACTTGGGCTTATTGGTATAATCCTGTAATCCCGGCACTCAGAGGCTGAGGCAGGAGGATAGCAAGTTCAACACCAGCCTGCTCTATATAGTTTGATCCTGTCTCAAGAACTGCAACATTAATCTAGTGCTTGGGAGGCAGAAGCTGGCAAATGTTTGCGAGTTCAAGGCCAGCCTGGTCTATATAGTGAGTTCCAGGTCAGCTGGGGCTACAGGGAGACCCTGTCTCAAAAAGACCAAAAAAAAAAAAAAAAAAAAAAAAAACCAAACCAAACCAAACCAAACCAAAACCTGAAACAAGGAGGGCTAATGCTGTGGCTTGGTTGTTAAGGTGCTTGCATAACAAGTGTGAAATCTCAGGATTGATTCCAGTACCACATAAACAGGTCATGGTGTCACCCCAGCACTTTAGGGAGGTGGAAGCAGAAGGACTGAACGTTCAAGGTCATCTTTGGCTACAGAGCAAGTTCAAGGCCAGCCTGGGCTATGAGACCCAGTCTTAAAAACAAACAGGTAAACAAAACAAAATAATAAAAAGGCCTGGGTGGGGTGTAGCTCAGTGGTAGAGTGCTTGACTAGCATGCATAAGATCCTATTCCTCAGACTTCAGAACAGGACAAGGTTTTGTCTTGGCTTTGCCCAATGCCAGAGGCCCTCCTCCCACAAGTGTTCTTACTGAATTATCAAAATAAGTCTATGAAGCAGGCACCATGGTTATACCCATTTTAAAGACAAGAAAAATGAGCTGGGATAGATTACTTCAGCGAGTTGCATAAAAGTCACAGAAGGTACAGAGAAAATGAGGAGAGGCTAGTGAGGTACTATGGATTTGAAGGTAAGCTACTGTTGGGGAAAAGGCTGCTTACCAGAGAGGCTTTTAGCACAGTTGAGGTCCCCTCGAAGATCATGATCCTGGTCCCATGTGGAGAAAGGTAGAGAAAGGCCGTTGGGGGAGACATTGGCAGCACCCAGTTCATTGGCCGTGGGCTCTGTGAGCTGCAGACTGTAGGCTGTGTCCTCACCCCCCAGGTGGATGGGGAACTGGAGCAACTTGGCGTTGCCATCCCGGTCTTGGAGCTGCACAGCCAGCTGGCTGCTGCGGTCCCCTGTGATGCTATGCATCTTCTCCAAGCCTAGCCAGAACTCACCTACAGCAAAAGAGGCCATCCTGTAAAGGCCTGACTAGCCCTGCAGCCCCATCCTCCACCCCTGCCTCTGGCCTTGCCAGAAACACTTACCTTTGGGGTCTCCGAAGCCATCCTTGTAGGCTTCCCAGGGTTGATTGAAGTCCACAGAGCCGTCCAGGCGTCTCTGAATCACTGTCCAGCCTCCATCTGCCCAGAGAGACACAAAGTCACCATAAGTCCCCCTCACAGGGATGCTGACAATCCTATGTAGCTACCAACCCTGACATCATGCCCCTCTACAATACAGGGAGGGCAACATAGTCTTTGTTCCTATTAGAGGAGCCAGGGAAAGGTGAGGTAGAGGGACCAACACTGCGATCAGACCTCTGTCCCAAGGACCTACAGGAAATCTGAAAATCTAGCTACATATGTGTTTTGTTTGTTTTTGAAACAGGGTCTCTAGCCTAGGCTGGCCTAGAACACGTTATATAACCAAAGATGATCTTGAACCTTTCTTGTAGTCCAGGCTAGCCTCTAGCTCACTATGTAGCTAAGGATGACCTTGAACTCCTGATCCTCCTGCCTCCACCACCAAGGGCTGAGAAGACAGGTGTGCACTACCATGCCCTGTTTATGCAGTGCTGGGGATGAACCCAGGGCTTCCTGTGTGCTAGGCGAACACTTTACCAATTGAGCTATAAATCAGCCCATGCAGATTTTTTTTTCTTTTTTGGAGATAGGCCTCATTATGTAGCCCAGGCTGGCCTTGAACTTTCAACCACTCTCCTGCTTCAACTTCCCAAGTGTTAGAGGCATGAGGCAGCAACTACCTGTGGTGTTAATTGAACCTAGGGTCCTGTGCATTTCAGGCAAGCACTCTACCATTGAGCTCCATTTACAGTCCATTTATACTTTTTATTTTGAGACAGTCTCAGCACATCCTACCTGAAGTCATCTCACAGTTGACCAGGAATGGCTGGGACCCCTGAGGCTGGATCTGGAATAGTCCACTGTGCCGTTCACCTTCTTGGAAGAGCTCCTGGCAATCCCTGGGTGGTCCTGAAAGGAGAGAGAGAGGGAGGAGTTGAAGCAGGAGAGAAGAGAGAAGGAAAAGAGCAGAGGAGGAGAGAAGGAATGGAACGGTGGCCTTGGCACACCGGTAGGCTTGGGAAAAATCACCACCAGCCCAGCAGGGAAAATAGGGGAAAGGTCACCAGGGAGAAGGGCTTGCTGGGACTTGGGATTGAAGGCCAGCCAGCAGAATCCACCGCCAGGAGTGGGGGCAGGCCCAGAATGACAGGGAGGACACTTTCCGGCCCCTCAGGCAGCTCCCCTTTCCCCTACTTTCCTCTCATCCAATCAGGACAGGCACAGTGCCAAGCCACCCATGTGGTCTCTATTAGGGCCAGCTGTTTGTCTCCCAAGCTCTGAACTTTCCCCTACTTGGCTAAGCAGAGTCTGGTAGTCCCAAACCCAAAAAACCACCCCACCTCTGACATTCTCTTCCACCACATCTCCCAGCCAAAACCTGTGCCTGACAACCCCCTAGAAACCCCTCATCCCAGGGACCCTCACAAAGCCCAAGCACCTGTCTGGGTAAAAGCCTCGGGTGAGGGGGGCACAGACAACTGCGAAGACTGTTGGGCTAGAAGCCAGCAACTACCCCTAGGGTGTGAAGTGGGGTATTCAAACTTTCACCTAGTCTGCTGTGGACAGCCTCAGATGCTGAGACAGTGGCTGTGAACTTAGGGCAGGAACTAGAGGCCTCTGTCACACACAGACAGACAGAATGCAGTTTGAAACAGAATAGTATGTGATAGACACAATATAGAGCTTGTGACTGCAGAAAAAGGAGAGAGAGAGAGGAGAGACAGAGAGAGAGAGAGAGAGAGAGAGAGAGAGAGAGAGAGAGAGAGAGAGAGAGAGAAAATGAGATGGATTGGCTTTGGGTACAGAAGAGGTGAACAGGACCTTGATTTGTAAGCTCCAAGAGCATGTCTAGCCTGGAATCTTTGTGTAGGATCCTTACTCTAGTTTTTTTCCTCTTCTAGATAGATATCCAATGAGGTATTGGGGGGTCCAAAACCTCAGAACCGACAACTCCACACCTGGTTCCTCTATTTCATTCTCACCTTCCAAGACGGTTCTAACCTTCAAGAATGATGTCATTGAGCTACATCACCATCTCCCACCACCCTAGAAACTTCAGCTTTTTGTGGTCTGTCTTCCCCCACCTGCTCTAGGTTAGTGGCTCATAAGATTTAGGGGACAAGTTGACTGGCTTGCTAGGAAAGAAGGGTGGGGTGGCCTGGTTGGGCACAGTCAGCACAGAAGAAGGTCTGCCCCTAAAAACCCTTCACTAGATGGTGGTGAGTTCGCAGGAATCCAAGCCAAGGGTCTCTTTTATTAAGGTGGGTCTGACGCAGGGGATGAGTGCAGGGTTGGCAGGTGCAGGGGTAGGAGAGCTGTCCGATGACAGCAAAAGACTGAGACACTCACTGTGCAAGCGGGTGGCATTGGGAGCTGGGCCAATGAGCTGGGCCATCTTGGGTAGCCTCTTTCCTCTGGAAGTCTTGGCCACCCCATTGTCTGGATGTGTGGGGGTCAGGAGGCCAATCTGAGACAAGATGGGAAGAGGGTGAGGATGGGCAGGTATCTCCATTCCTAGATCTACTGGTCAGCGCTTTGATCTCCCTCCTCCCGACCTGGGCCAGACCCTTGGGTGGGTACCTGGCTCTGAAGATTCTGGATTCTGAGATTCTGTTTCTCCAGGTGTTGCTGCTGCTGAGCCACCTTCTGGAAGAGCTGCTGGATCTTGCTATTCTGAACCTTGAGCTGTGTCTAGAGAGAGGTGCAAGACTGATGAAGACTTGGCTTTAGGTCCGCAACCTCCTCCCACTCATCCTGCAGTCCACCCATCCAATTGTCTGGTCTCTGAGGTCCAGGGCGCTTCAGTTGCCCCGCTCGCGGTACCATTCCTGCGCACACTCTTACTGGCCAGTAGGGGACCGAACTGGATGGAGCCTAGAGAAGCCAGCCCCTGGCGGGTGCACGAACCTGCAAGCTCCGCAGAGTCTCAGGAGCCACGTCACTGTCGCGGACTGTACCCTTGGGGTCTTTGGAGGGGGCATCGTTCCCCTTGGATCCCTGGCAAGCGTCCCCGCACTCAGCTAGGCGACGCTCCAACGCGCCTAGCTGCCCGCGGGTGCGCTCCACGTGTTCGCGCAGCCCGTGGCCGAGCTGCAGCAGCCCGTGTGCCAGCACGTTCATGTCGTCCCAGGACGCGAAGCGCGGAGGCTCGGGCTGCGCCGGGCGGCCCTGAACGCTCAGCAGCCCGGCGGTAGCTGCGCACAGCACCAGGGCTGCTCCTGCCGTCGGAGCGCAGAGCATGACTGGGGGCGACCTGGGTGCGGGAATTCCGGGACTCAGGAGTTGGAGATGCAATCGCTGGGGTCCTGGGGAAGCCGGCCGAGATTTGCTCTTGCTGGGGTGCGGAAAGCCTAGGGTTCGGCTCGGATCAGGTTTTCCAGGCGGCACTCAACACCCCCTTTTATAAACTGGGTGCGGGAATGGGAGGGGGAGCCCCGGAGGCGGGACACGGGGAGTGCCGGGGGCGGGGCGAGAGGCCAAGGGTGCGGTGCTGGGCGCCTCAGGCCTGGTCGTTACGAGGCAAGGGGTGAAGGGTCCCCGGAGGTTCCAGGCTCCGCTGGCCTTTCGTGACCCATGCGCGACGTGACTGTCGCCGCACCGTATGCTCCCACTTTAAAAGCCAGAATTCCTAGCCCCGCATCCGGCTCCCTTCCTACGTCATTGAGCGGGTTGAGGGGTCGGGGAGGGGGGTTCATGTCAATCAAGACGTGGAGGCCTTCGTGATTGACCCCTTTCTCCCAGTCCGAAGGAGAGTGGGTAAGAGTTACGTGGGAGAACGTTCTCTCCCTGAGATGCGGAGCTTGCTATGCAAGCCGGGAGAACCGGAGGCCTACGTCCTCCCCTGCTCCAGGAGGCTTCCTGCCAGCTCCAATCCCCAGACCAGGCTGGAGCCCCTGCCACCACGTTCACCCCCGTGGGCGACGGCTCAGGGCTCCCGTGCAAAGTTTTGTCATTGTCTACGTGTTTGTGAGAGTCATTAACGACCTTGTTCATCTCGTCCTCCCCTCGAGGCCAAATTGTCAGCACCCTAGTTGCAGGGACCTCAGCCGGCCCGTGTGATTCAAAGTACATCTCAGTCTCTATTGCCTGCCCTCCACTGCCAGGGATTTCAGGCAGCGTGGGGGATTTACCTGTATTAAAGCAGGAACCACGCCCGGGGCGGTGGCCCTGGCCCCTCATCCCAGCACTTGTGAGGTGGAGCCAGACGATGAGGAATTAATCCTGGCTGCACAGTGAGTTTGAGGTCAGCCTGGGCTGATGAGATCCTATCTCAAAACAATGAACAAAACCGTGTCACCCACCCGCAGCCCAGCACCGGCCAGGCGGATAGTAGCAAGGTGGAAGCTAATCTTATCTTCTCGTAGTAAGTTTCAGGACAGCCAGGGCTGCAAAGCAAGACCACGTCTGAAAGGCAAAAACACAAAGCCATGTCGACATGGCTAAAAATATGTACGACTATTTTGTGATTTAACATGGATTTTGGGAGAAGACAAATTCTAGATTTTTATGGACATAAAGACATTAAATACATTTTCTAAGGAAAAAAAAACACAAAAAACAAATCATGTCATGATGTCCTTTACTCCCAGCACTCTGGAGGCAGACACAGGTGGATCTGTGTGTGTTCAAGGCCAGCTTGGTCTACATAGCAAGTTCCAGGCCAGCTAAGGTACACAGTGAAGTTGTGTCTCAAAAATAAAAACAAATAAACTGGGCGTGGTGACTCATGCCTTTAGTCCCAGCACTCACGAGGCAGCGGCAGGGGCATCTTTGTGAGTTTGAGGCCAGCCTGGTCTACATAGTGAGTTTCAGGACAGCTGGGGCTACAGGGAGACCCTGAAAATATAATAAAAACATTTAACAACCAAAAAGCAAGGAAGCTTTGGTAGGAAGACTCTCACCTTCATCCTTTCGTTTATTCATTCACTCATGGGTTCCTCACAGTCCAGGTCTTGTATGGAGTCTCTTAGCTTGTGTATAGACCCTAACACAGAGCGTGGAAGAGAGACAAAGTTGAAACCTGGGTGAGGCTGATGCTTGCCCCTGTTCTTACCACATGGGTAAGCTTTCCTTTCAGGAGGTTGGAAACACAGCTCCTTCCCCTCCAATTCCCCTCTAGCCTGCAAGGAAGAGAAAGCCCTGGCACAGAAAACCTGCCTGCTGGGAAGACCCTTAGGGCAAGTTGATTAAAAAAAAACCCAAAAAACCCAAGTTGAGTCAGCAGGGATTAGAGCCAGCAGCAAACTCTCTGGAATCTGAAACTACACGCCCCAGGGCTGACGTGCAGGTCACCACTTGTACATTCTGCCAGCTGGGCCACAAGCCAAGATGACTGATTTCAGCTGCAGTCACGGGCAGACGGGAAAGGCAGGCAGGAAACCCCTAGTGAGGAATGAGTTCACATGTCCACCATCTGGCCTGTCCACTCCTCAGGCTTTCTCTCGGTGCAGGACATAGCAGGATATAGCGATTCCACACTAGCCCATAATGCAATCTCCTCTTCCAAATCTTGCATTAAGAGAAAACCTACAGCCTGGTATAGTGGTGCACACCTTTAGTTCCAGCACTCGGGAATCAGAGGCAGGTGGATCTCTGTGAGGTTGAGGCCAGCCTGATCTACATAGCCAGTTCCAGGCTAGCTGAGGCTACAGGGAGATGAGAGAGAGAGAGAGAGAGAGAGAGAGAGAGAGAGAGAGAGAGAGAGAGAGAGAGACCAAGCCAGGTGTGATGGTTCATGTTTGCTATTCCAGCGCTTGGGGATAGTGGCAGAAAGATCAGGGGTTTAAGGTCATTCTTGGCTACATAAGGACTTCAAGGCCAGCTTGGGCTACATGAGGAGAACCTGCCTCAAGAAATAAAATATGAGTCAGGTATGGTGGCTCATGCCTTTAATCCCAGCAATTGGGAGGAAGAGGCAGGCTGTCTCTGTGAGATTGAGGCCAGTCTGGTCTAACACAGTGAGTTCCAGGTGAGCTGGGGCTATAGGGAGACCCTATCTCAAGTTTAGAAAGCAAGTAAGTAAGTAAGAAAGAAGAAAATAAGGGCCAGTGAGATGGCTCCCTGACGACCTGATTTCAATCCTTAGGACCCATATGGTCCTAAGTTGTTCTCTGACTTCCACAAGAGTGCTGTAGCATATGTGTGAAAAAAGAAAGGAACAGGGACTGGCGAGATTGCTTAGTGGTTAAGAGTGCATGCTGCCCTTGCAGAGGATGGGGGTTCTGTTCTCAGTGCCCACATTAGGTGACTCACAACTGCCTATGACTCAGCTCCAGAGGATCCAGTGCCCTCTTCTGACCTCTGAAGGTATCTGCACTCACATGCACATACCTCCATTCGGATATACACACATACACAAAATAGTTCAGACAGTTGTGGTGGTGCACACACTTGGGAGGCTGAGGCAGGTAGATCTGTATGAGTTCAAGGCCAGCCTGGTCTACATAGCGAGTTCCAGGCCAGCTGGGGTTGCAGGGAGACCCTATCTCAAAATAAAATAAAATTAAAATTAAAATAGGCCAGGTGTGATGGTGCACACTATTAATCCCAGCACTCGGGAGGCTGAGGCTAGCGGATCTCTGGGAGTTTGAGGCTAGCCTGGTCTACATAGAGAGTTCCAGGCCAGCCAGTGCTACTTGGTGAGACCCCTTCTCAAAAACAGAGAAGGTTGGAGAGATGTCTCAGCAGTTAAGAGCACTGGTTGGTTCAGTCCCTAGCATTCACATGGTGGCTAATCACCATCTAGAACCCCAGCTTCTGGGGATCTGATGTTCTCTTCTGGCCTCCACAGAAATTGCATGCACATGGTGTACCTACATACATACAGGCAAAACACTCATACACATAAAATAAATAAACAAATAAATATATAAATAATGTAAAAAACAAATAATAAAATACTTTTTTTTTGGTCTTTTTGAGATAGGGTCTCCCTGTAGCCCCAGCTGTCCTAGAACTTACTATGTAGACCAGGCTGTCCTTGAACTCACAGAGATCCACTTGCCTCTGCCTCCTGAGTGCTGGGATTAAAGGCGTGCGCCGCCATGCCTGGCCTAAAATACGTATTTTTTTTTAAAAAAGAGAAACTACCAATTACTTTCCCAACCTGACAGTTCTTTATGTGTTTGTGTGTGTGTGTGGGTGCTATTTACATGTGTATAGGCACACATGTGAGTGTAGGTGAGCCTGCATAGGCCTAAGGTTGATGTGGGGTGACTTCCTTGATTACCCTTCAGTTTAGTTATTGCATCAGGATCTCTCTTATTTTTTGGTCTTTTTAGACAGGGTCTCCCTGTAGCTCCAGCTGGCCTGGAACTCACTATGTAGACCAGGTGGGCCTCAAACTCATAGAGATCCACCTACCTGACTCTGCCTCCTGAGTGCTGAGACTAAAGGTGTGTACCACCATGCCTGACCCCTCCATCTACTTTTCAGATTTCAATGCCATGTTTCAGAGGGCACAAAGTACTTCAAAGTCTCTTGGAGGTACTTGCCTGCTGTTGGGCTGGGCATGGTGGCAAATGCCTTTAATCCCAGCACTCGGGAGGCAGAGGCAGACGGATCTCTGTGAGTTAGAGGCCAGCCTGGTCTACATAACAAATTCCAGGTCAGCTGTGGCTACAGGGAGACCCTGTCTCAAAAAGCTTAAAAACAAAAAACAAAAAAACAAAAAAAGAAGACGTCTGTCTTCCTGGGGCCTGGAGCTGGCTCTGGCTTTTATATTAAAAACTGCTTTTTGAAATGTGTCCTCTTACCCAGCTATGTCAGTCACTCTGATTGGTCATTCCCAAAGCTCCTACTATGTGCTGGGGCTCTATCAGTGGGCATATGACCTACTCCCCACTCCCATCTCCTCAACTCTGACTTTAGACTTCTGTAATCTGAGGATGTAGCTCAGTGGTAGAGCCCTTACCTAGTATGTGTGAAGCTGGGATCATGGTCCTAGCACTTTAAGAAAAATGTCATCTGTATTTGGACTGGGAATATAGTTTAGTGGTAGAGTGTCTAGTATGCATGTAAACCTAAATTTATTTCCCACTACTGCAATCAATTAGTCAATAACCTTAGAAAGGTGACCTCAGGAACAGGATTGGGTGGCACAGACCAGTTGTGATAGTGTTAACTGTCAACTTGACAAAAGTTAGAATCATTTGTGCTATGTAGATGCTGGTGGGGGATTATCTGTTTTTTTTTCAGACTGGGTCTTAGGTTCCTCTAAAAACCACCATACTCAGCTTATTTATTTTATTTTTATTTTATGTGTATGAAAATATTTTTTGGTCTTTTTGAGACAGGGTCTCCCTGTAGTCCCAGCTGACTTGGAACTCACTATGTAGACCAGGCAGGCCTTGAACTCACAGCGATCCGCCTGCTATGACTTTGTCATGAATAAT